ACCGGGAGCAGCATCGCCTATAGCTCCTGGAGTCAGGGCTCGTTGCTGCAAGACACCAAGGGCTCCAGGGGGCTTGCTCACAAACAAAGGAGAAGCTCTGGGATCTTGGCTGGGTTGGAGGTGCCAGGGGGAGGCAGCCCAGGGGGTCTCTTGTGCAGGATGGGACCACCAGGTCCTACTGAGGATGGCAGGTCCACCCAAGGCTATGCAAAAGGGCTCCCCATATCTGCCCTGGAGCAAAGGCAGGGGGCATTTACCCCTTCCAGGGGCAGAGAAAACATTTCTCCCTCTAACACACACCAACGCACTTGGTATCGTAATAATAGACCATTTACAGTTGTTTATTTTAAGAAATGTACAAAGAAAAATGGCTTTAGCTCACACAAATCCTGCTCTTTGGCATTTTTTCCATCACTGACGACATGTACGTACAAGCAGCATTGATTGTGAACAACAATCTGGGCTTGAAACCTCCGTGCCATGGATGCTTCCCATGCAAACACTGTTTAAAGCAGCTCAGGCTCCTGTTCCAGGGAGCATCACCCTATGCAACATGGAAATGAAAGCACAACACTACGGGAAGAGCAGAGCGACCCCGGCTCTGCTGCCTGGCTGACAGCACATGGATGCAAGCAAGCTCAGCACTGCTCCTGGCCAGCCTGAACATGGGGCATCCGTAACGGCTCGCGGGCCAAAATCAACCCAAGAAAAAAAAAAAAAAGGAAAAAAAAAAAAGACAACAGACTCTTTGGCTTCAAGAAGCAGCCCTTGTTTTAACTGGAAGAGGTTTTGGTTCATGTTTGTTTTGATCTCAAGAGTTTTTTTTTCCCTTTTGAAGGCAGAAGGCAGTCCAGAGATGAACTCTGGGTTGTTTTTTTTTTGCCCATTTTCTTGATTTACTTTCCTTTTGCCCACCTACATCAAGAGCAGTAAAACCCTTCCCCCCTGGGAAAACCCTCCTCTGCTGGGAGGTTTCCTGGTGAGGACCTGCCTGGCTCCATCAGGCTCTGCAGACACCCCAGTACGTGCCGCTGGGTCATCTCCAGAGCCCCAGCCAAGGGAAGGATGCTCTGCCTGAGTATTTTGGGATTTACACCCCAGTGGGAGCATTCATTGCATTAAGGCCCCTCAATGCTGGGTGGCTGATGAGGCTGAAGGGACCCCATTGAAACAGCTCATTGCAAGGACCGTTCAGAGACCTGCTCTGGATCCCCAGGGATACTTCTCGTTAATTAACGCTAACCAAGAGCGCTCCAGCAGGACATTTCCACTTGCTCTGGGGCTTGGAAAAAAACCCAAACCAACATAGAAGTGGTTTTGTTACAGGGACTGGGGATTCTCGGAGGAGGTTCTCCAAACTCTACCTTTGTCCATTGCTTTTCTGCCACAAAATATGGATGAAACGGGAAAACAGAGAAGAAGCATGGTTATAAATATCGCTTACATTCATACTGTAGAGACCTGAATGATTTATGATTTCAATGCATATTCAGAGACCTTTAAAACCTGATATTTAACCCTGAGAACATATCTGCAGATGCTTTGTTTTGGCTATGCAAACAAATCTTTAAGACATAATTGCACTTTCTGTATATATAACAAAAAAATAATCCATAAAGCTTATTCAAATATTCAAAAGAAAGGTGCTACTTTAAGACTTTGGAGATTTTTGTTCACAAAACCTTGTCTTTTCTGTAATTATTCTTAATATTATTTCACTTGGCTCATCTTTCACTGGCTACTTGGCTGCACTCTGGAAGAATAATGTACAAGAAAATCTCTTAATTGTGAAATAACATTAATAAATAATTACTTTAAGTAAAAGGACAGCCATACTCATTTGTTAATGCCTGAAAAACATCGTTACCATGATGAGATCATTTCAAAACTAAAATGTTTCTCTTTCACCAACAATAGATAGATTTCACATTTAGTTCTCATAAGAAAAATATTAAACTCTTTGCAAGTGCAGTGAGCTGTAAAACCCAGGATCGCTAAGAGATCCTGCTTTGAAAGTTAAGGTGTCTACTTGAAATATCTGAAATTAGCTCAATGCCTAAGACCTATCGATCTGTGATTGGAAGAGCTCTTGAAAAGGAGATACAAGTGAAGTCTTTTCAGGCTGGGTGAGAGATGGAAAACTCCTTCTGTTATACCGACGACTCTTTCACAACCCGTTCCTTATCCCGTGCTTTTGCTTCGCCAGGAGCATCTGGAGTCTCTGACTTGGGAATGGGTGCAAGACCAAAGGCAGGGGCTGTCTCCACATCTGTCCCACTGTTCCCATACATCTCGTGCATTTTGGTGGCAATCAGACCTTCCTTCTCGGGTGCGTCGTCTCTCAGGGCATCCTCATCCTTACTGTGCCGGTACATGTAGGATGCCTGCTTCACCGAGCGCTTCAGGAGGTACCTCCTGAAAGCCCTCTGGATTTTTGTAGCACAGACTTCCTCGTGTTTTCTTTTCAGAGTGGTGGTGATGGGTTCATAGGAAACCTTCGAGGGGTTTGCGGCCATGAACTTCTCCTCCATGGTGTCCTTCAAGGCATCCATCTCTCCCGAGTCTCCCAGCACTTCCTTAGTCAGGGCAAAGAGGATATCCAGACAGTGGATTTTGTCCCCAGCAACCATTGGTAGATCCATGGTGATTAGCTTGATCTTGTTTGGCTTGGGAATTTTGAGTGGCTCCTGTAAGGTGTCTACAAAGTCAGACAAGGTGCTGTACTCAATGAACTGGGTGGCATCCGGGTCAAATTTCTCCCAATTTTCATAAAACATTTCAAAATCAT